CCTAATTTAGACCAAATGTCTAAATTTTGAAGGCATTTTTATTTTACTAATAATCTTTAAAACTGTCTTTATTTCCTAAAGATTACTAAAGTCACATGAACTAAAAGGCATTAAAGTCTTTATTTTTCTGAGAAAATCTTTGATAAATAAGTGCTATTTTTAAGCCAATTAAGCAGAGCTCTCATATATAAACATCACACACACAATACATATAAATACAGAAACAGAAGAAGATCCAGTACTTGTAAGATTTTTCATTTCCCAGTTTTTAAGTTTCTTAATTAGATTACTGGCTTCCGGGTACAGCCCTTCAAGAAACAGGACCAGGAAGTATGCAGTTTCTATGGCCAAATAAGAAGGCACAGCTGGAAGGCAAAAACAGATTGCCGAAAATTAAGAGTTCAATTCTTATACCAGGTCCTGTATACCAAAAAGAGGGAATTAGCTTATCCTCCATGGGGATCTTACTTCTCAGTGGCAGTGGGTAGGGATGTATCCATACCTTCTAGGTGGCCAAGAGCATGCTTCCCTTATCCAAACAAGCAAAAAGCCGAGTTATCTCCCCATAACTGCCATTAGCCATCCCTAAAAGTGTATTTTCCTACCTAGTTATTACCATTAAAGCTCTCTCATAATGCAAAGTAATTTCTGATACCCACCAACATCAAAGATGTCAGGTAACTCAATGCAAAACAGAACAGAACCTTAGATTTTGAGAGGGATCTATTCACTTTCAGTTCTTGGGGTTCCATGAGGAAATCAGGAGGTTTTCCCAAAATGGGGTCTGTGGCACCTCCTCTGCCTTTCTCCAGGAGTCCCAGGCTGTTAGAAATTACCTTAGGTCCTCTCATTTAGGTGTCAATAGTGGCAAGAAGATAAAATGGAGAAAAACAATTCAATCAACTGAGAAGAAAATAACTTTTTTCAGAAAAACAAGATTCAACCAGAGGGGGGAAAAAAGCCATAAAGACCTTTTAAATATATGTATAGCTTGAATAATCTGCTTTTACTTAAGCTGACGTTTAACCAGATCTCTTATTACCAGACTCTAGCAAGGACCTACAGCCAGTATTTCTGGCTTTTGAACTTTACTAAAGGTAACTTCCCAGGTGAAACAATAAGCCTTAACTAAGTTTATGACTTCACCATGGGTGTATGAGGTATTTTCAAAGAGGTGGTAAGCAGTTTTTACAAGATCTAGAAACTTCAAAGGTAGCTCAGAGAAAGGAAAATTCAAGCTGGAAAGTCAGAGGTTGTTGTTCATGAAGGTGAAGAGAATCAACAAATGGCAAAGGTCACACAAATATCAACCAGAAAGTACTCATTCCCTAAGCTAGAAATTGAACCCAAGTCACCATTGTGAAATGGCAAAGCCTTAGCTTCTGAGATACAGCACTGGGCAGTGTTTATTGCCCTTCCCAGAAGGAACCTAGAGTGGCCAATTCTGAGCTGACAAAGGCTTTTAAGAGCCCAAGATACTAGGTTGGTGCAAAAGTAATCATAGTTTTGGTCATTTCAGTGGCCAAAAGTTTTGGCCAAAATTTTCAGTGGCCTATAATTTTTAGGGCAACTATTGACATGAACCCCAAAATTTTCACCCTCTAGATAGTGGAGACCAAGAAAAAGTTTCCCCATATACTCATATTCCTGAAACAGCTACATGCAGTTATGTGCTACCTAGTAACGTTTCAGTCAACAGTGGTCCCATATGATTATAATACCTTATTTTTACTGTACCTTTTCTATAGTTAGCTGTGTTTAGATACACAAATATCATGTAGCAATTGCACACAGTATTCAGTAGTCACATGCCGTACAGTTTTGTAGCCTAAGAGCAACAGGCTGTACCATACAGCCTATTTGTGTAGTAGGCAATATATTTAGCTTTGTGTAAGTACAATTTATGATGTTCACACAATGACAGAATCGCCTGATGATGCATTTCTAGAATATATTCCCATCATTAAGCAACGCATGACTATACACAGTCTCAAAGAATCTCAAAATAAGTTTCCTTATTAAAAAGGGAAAAAATAATAACTACAGGGAATGAACCTGGTGAATGCCATCTCAGCCAAGCGATCAAAGTTATTGCCACCACTAATGACACAAACCAACATATGTGCCTCCTGATGTGACGTCCTGGAGAGAGCCGCAGCATCATTCATGTTGTATTTCTAAAATAATGCATAGTCTGAATCAACTCGTAATGAAATGTGAGGCAAAAACCAACTGAGAGCTTATCTGTGAAATAAATGGTCCCTCCTCTCCAAAAAGGTCACTATCATTGAAGACAAAGAAGGGCTGAGGAATCATTCCAGATTAAAGGTGACTGAAGAAACAGGAAAACTAAATGCAATGTGTGATCCTTCCTTGGATGAATCAAGAAGAAAAATTGATATAAATGATATTACTGAGACAACTGGTGAAATTTAAATACGGTCTATAGATAGTAGTATTATGTCCATCAAGATTTTCCTGATTTTTTTTAATCATTGTCTTGTGGTTTTATAAATGGATGATTTCACAGTCCAGGTAACAGTAAGGGGCATGGTATTTGCAATTTACTATCAGATGATCCAGGAGAAAAAGTATAGATATATATGTGGAGACAGCGAGGGCAACAGGAGTGTGAAAAGAATAAAACAAATGTGACATGTTACATTGGTGAATCTGGGTGAAGAGTATATGGGAGTACTCTGCACTATAATTGCAACTTTTCTGTAAGCTTCAAATTGTTTCAGAATGAAAGTTTTTAAAAATGAGTAAGAAAAACTTCCCATAAGTGGGCCATATTTACACTTCTGGAGAGAGGCTCTTCATGCTTGCATCAGGTTCTGACTGTGAACACTCCTCAAAAAAGGGTCAAGACACATGAATAGAAGTGATAAGAAGGGAAAGAAAAATTATGGGAAAAAAAAACTAATACACCTTATTTCCATTACTTATGTTTCTTTTTTCTTTTTTTTTTTGAGACAGGGTCTCATTCTATTGCTGAGGCTGGAGTGCAGTGGCACAATCATTGCTCACTGCAGCCCTAATCTCTCCAGGCTCAACCTTCCACCTCAGCCTCCCAGGTAGCTGTAACTGCAGGTGTGTGCCACCATGCCCAGCTGATTTTTGTGGGTTTTTTTGTAGAGACAGGGTTTCACTCAGGCTGGTCTTGAATTCCTGGGCTCAAGTGACCCAGCTGCCTCAGCCTCCCAAAGTATTAAGATGACAGGTGTGAGCCACTGCACCCGGCTTAAAAAAAAAAAACAAGGCCGGGTGCGGTGGCTCAAGCCTGTCATCCCAGCACTTTGGGAGGCCGAGACGGGCGGATCACGAGGTCAGGAGATGGAGACCATCCTGGCTAACACGGTGAAACGCCGTCCCTACAAAAAACTAGCCCGGCGAGGTGGCGGCGCCTGTAGTCCCAGCTACCTGGGAGGCTGAGGCAGGAGAATGGCTTAAACCCGGGAGGCGGAGCATGCAGTGAGCTGAGATCCGGCCACTGCACTCCAGCCTGGGTGACAGAGCCAGACTCCGTCTCAAAAAAAAAAAAAAAAAAAACAAAAAACAAAAAAAAACTTATTTGATAAGGGGTCTTGTTATGTTGCCCAGGTGGTCTCAAACTCCTGGCCTCAAGCACTCCTCCCAAAGGGCTGGGATTACAGGTGTGTGCCATCATGCCCAGCCATATTTCTATATTTAGTCATATTCTCTGACTTTTATAAATGGGAATTAAACTCAAATAGCAAAGATAAAGATCTGAAGCACTGATGTTAGTCTGAATATCAGGGTTTAAAAAAAAAAAAAAGGGTTTTAATTGCCGGGCGCGGTGGCTCATGCCTGTAATCCCAGCACTTGAGGAGGCCATGGCGGGCGGATCACCTGAGGTCGGGAGTTCAAGACCAGCTTGACCAACACGGAGAAACCCCGTCTCTACTAAAAATACAAAATTAGCTGGGCGTGGTGGCACATGCCTGTAATCCCAGCTATTTGGGAGGCTGAGGCAGAAGAATTGCTTGAACTTGGGAGGCAGAGGTTGCGGTGAGCCGAGATCATGCCATTGCACTCCAGCCTGGGTAACAAGAGCAAAACTCTGTCTCAAAAAAAAAAAAAAAAAAAAGTTTTAACTAAAGCAGTAGAACTTAAATATTGTAAAAATAATAGCTTTTGCCAAATTAGCAATAAATGCTGTTCTTTCTTTAGTCTTTATTAACAGAACCAGGGGCTTGCTCTATTACCCAGGCTGTGCAGTGGCACAATTGCGACTCACTGCAGCCTCGAAAGCCTGGGCTCAAGCATTCCTCCCGCCTCAGCTTTCCAAGTAGCTGGACTACAGGTTCACGCCACCACTCCTGGCTAACTTCAGTCGTTAAAACTCAATAGTTGACCCAAAACAAATTTCTCATTTGTTTTATGATCATTTATTCATTCATTCTGAAATATTTAATCAATTTTGAACCAAACACTTCTCACTGCTCGGGGGAGAAAACTGCAAGTAATTATTGACTCTTCTCATTGACTACAAAATTAAAATATATTTATTACACTGGAAAGTGAGGTTTCTTCATTGTGGTTAGATAAAAGAATATGATTCTAGGTGAGAAATATGTAAAGAGTCCAAAAAAAAAAAAATCAATTTAAAATGATTATTTAGGGTGGGCGCAGTGGCTCACACCTGTAATCCCAGCACTTTTGGAGCCTGAGGTGGGCGGATCACCTGAGGCCAGGAGTTCAAGACCAGCCTGGCCAACATGATGAAACCTTCTCTATTAAAAATACAAAAATTAGTCAGGTGTGGTGGCGCACTTGTGTAATACCAGCTACTCAGGAGGCTGAGGCAGGAGCATTGCTTGAACCTTGGAGGCGGAGGTTGCAGCGAGCCAAGATGGCACCACTGCACTCCAGCCTGGGCGACAGAGTAAGATTCCATCTCAAAAAAGAAAAAAAAAAAAAAAAAGAGTTTTAAAATGTCACATGTAATTTCACAAGAAAATTAACTGCAACTCAGGTTTATTTTCACATTGTTTAATTTTATACACATTTCACATATCATAAATACACACAATACAAAAAGCTATACAAAAACCCTAGTAATTTAACATTTAAAAAAGGGAGAGGGAGATACTGTATTTGATTTCTGACACTTTTCTGTTTAAATAATACTTAAATTCATTTTTCAAGAAGACAAATTGAAAATCATTAATTTTTCACAGGGCTCTGTGTTCACATATATTTATCGTTCAGGCCGAGCATGGTGGCTCACACCTGTAATCCCAGCAATTTGGGAGGCTGAGGCGGGTGGATCACCTAAGGTCAGGAGTTTGAGATCAGCCTGGCCAACATGGCAAAACCCCATCTCTAAATAAAAACAAAACAAAACAAAAATAAATAAATTTATCATTCAAGTATATTTTTATTGAAGCAATAAACCACTTCATTGGCTGCAGAGTCAAACTGGGTAAGCCTCAATAGTGAGCAAAAGTAGAGAATTCTGTTTTCCTCAGCTTAGAATCAGCTTCTAACACACGAAATGCAGAGCACAACAGTGATTTTTAACTGGCGTTATTAAGACCATAGTATAGGGGTGACAATGCACAGCATACCCTATATTGTTTGCTTATAGAGTCTTGTTAAAAATATCATACTAAAAAAAATAAGAAATTTTATTTTTCCTAATTTCTTTTTTATTCAATTTAAAAAATAATACATCTTTTTCATTGTGCTTGGCAACTGGACATGATATCTGAAGACATAATTTAAATACACAATGGAGAAAATATATACATAACTCCTAAAGGATTTTGACATTTTTTAAATTAATTATAATTTTGGTTCAATAGTTATCAATCACAGCAAATATAAATAACAAAATAATATCATTCACCATATGATCATGTTTTTAAAAAGTTAATTGTTGAGGCACAAAAACATTACATGACTTGCCCAAGGTCATGAAGGGAATGAGGCGCAGAAAACAGCACGTTTTTTTCTAATTTAAACAACTATACTAACCCCTAGCTTACGCCATCTATCAAAATCAGCTCAGGGCAACAGATACAGAAATTTAACGCGTTATCCAGGAATGTTTGTTTAACTTAAACTGCTGTTATTAATAAACTTAACTTTAAGAATCTATAGGTTTAGCATACATTATTAGGAATTTACAAATAAAACATATTTTTCTGAATTATTAGGTGTGTAATTTGTTAGTATTTGACACAATAGCAAAAACAAATTTGACAATACAATTTTAAACCAATGAATTCTGTGAAAGATGCTTACTAACATGATTTTTTAAAAAAATACTAATTATAGGACCTACAAAATTCAGAAGACAGTACCTTAGATACAAACACTTAATATAAATATAAATGTATTAAATCATCTTCTAGTTGACCCTTTATTATCAATGAAAACGTTCTAACAAAGCACTCATAATGTTTCCTGGTATTCTTTGATGCTTATCAATCAAAGCTTGAACAGCATTCTTCGTCTATTAAGAAAACAAAAGTTATTGTTAGTAGATCTTAATATAGATTGATTTACCTCCCATCATCCCCAAGAATTAATGATTTCCTTCTCAGTATACCGGAAGCATATATATTTTTCTTTTTTCTTTTCTTTTCTTCTTTTTTTTTTTTTAATAGAGATGGGGTTTCACTATGTTTCCCAGGCTGTTCTGAAACTCCTGGGCCCAAGCAATACTTCCACCTTGGCCTTCCAGTCTGCTGGGATTACAGGCATGGGCCACCGTGCCTGGCTGCAGCACATTTCTTATACTTATTTTATTAAGCCTTGAATTATAGTTGTTGTACATGTGTCTATTTTCTATACCAGACTGTAAGCTCCTTAAGATACATCTTAGTATTTCTCCAGCATTAAGCACAGCAATGCCTTGTACATGATAAACACTAAAGGGGACTTAAAGAAAAAAAATTAAAAGGAAAAAAAGTAGAAAATTTTCAAGTAGGCAAATGGAAGACTTAGTTCTTTCCAGCTATTAGTAAACACTAATGTATATTTTCTTTTATCACCATATATACTGAACAATTATATCAGGGTCTCACTGTGTTGCTCAGGCTGGTCTCGAACTCCTGGACCCAAGAGATTCTCCTGCCTTGGCCTCCCAAGGTGCTGGGATTACACGCATGAGTCATTATGCCTGGCCAATTTTTATTTTTAAATTGGTTTATGGCTATTTAAAATTCTGATATATGTATTTACATAGTTCATGGTACACACATATATACTTTTTTAGACTTTAACCTTTAAAGAAGATTAATAAACACTAGGCCAAAGATGTATTTTAAAAATACACCCCTTTGGCTGGGCACGGTGGCTCACACCTGTAATCCTAGGACTTTGGGAGGCTGAGGTGGGTGGATCACCTGAGGACAGGAGTTCGAGAGCAGCCTGACCCACATGGTGAAACCCCATCTCTACTAAAAACACAAAATTAGCAGGCATGGTGGCACATGCCTGTAATCCCAGCTACCTGGGAGGCTGAGGCAGGAGAATCACTTCAACACAGGAGGCGGAGGTTGCAGTGAGCCAAGATTGCACCATTGCAATCTAGCCTGGGGAACAAGAATGAAACTTCATCTCAAAACAGAGAAAAACAAACAAACAAAAAAATGCCCCTCTAAACCACAGTTTTCATACCCGTAAAATGAGAACTACTTCATACAGTTATAAAGATTACATGAAACTGAAAGGACATCTTCAGGTACTTAACATAGTGACTGGCACATAGGTTGTGTTCTGTGATGTGTATTAAGTGTACCTCTAGAATTTTATTCATTCATTCAAAAAATACTAGGTTCTTTGGAAATTATAATATTAGTGAAACAAGTCTCTAATCTCAAGGAGCTCATAACTTAAAAGGAAGAATCAAGTACAAAGTAACTAAAATGTGAGATCATTGGTGATGCATATCATCTGAAGTATGAAAAGAAAGTGTTCAGAAGTTCAGACCTGAGAGCCCACTGGGTAGGCAGTGAGCAGGGGAGGACACATGAACAGGGTACTGTTTGGTGCGGGTCTCCAAGGACCCATGATATTCTAATAATGGTAAAGGAAGGAGCATGAGGAGAAAAGAGTACAGGAAAACCACAGTAAGAAATAGCGAGTTAGCCAGTTTAGCTGGAGTTTCAGGTATTCAAAAGGTGGGTGAGGTAAGGCTTTAAAATTAATTTCAATTAAATCATGAAGGGAGTTAAATACCAAATAAAAAAGCATAGACTTTGAGTATATAAAGCAAAAAAGTATAGACTTGTACCAAGTAAAAAAGTACAAACTGGTGGCGTGTGGCTGTAATTCCAGCTATTTGGGAGGCTGAGGTACAAGAATCACTTGAATCTGGGAGACAAAGGTTGCAGTGAGTCAAGATTGCACCACTGCACTGCAGTCAGGGTTACAGAGTAAGACTGTATCAAAAAGGAAAGAAAGAAAAGAGGGAAATCCCATCACAGGATACAACATAGATGAACCTTGAGGACATTATGTTAACTGAAATCAGTCAATCACAAAAAGACAAACACCATGTGTTTTCACTCATATGAGGTATCTAAAGTGGTCAAAGTCTTAGAAAAGGAGAATGTTGGTTGCTAGGAGCTGGAGGAAGAGGAAATGGGAAGTTGGTGTTCAATAGGTATAGTCCATTTTGCAAGAAGAAAAAATTCTAGAGATCTGTTGCTCAACAAGGTGAATGTACTTAATAGTACTGAACTGTATGCTTTAAAATGGTTAAGATAGTACATGTACCTGTTTTCAGAATAATTTGTTTTACTATGTTTTACCATATTATGTGTTTACCATATGTTTTACCATAATGTGTTTTTACCATAATTTATATTTTTTAAAATAAATCAAACTATACATACATCAAAGACTATATAAAAATCATAATCAAAATACATTCATCCCATTTTATTTTTTGCGTGACAGTGTCTTACTCTGTTGCCCAGGCTGGCGTGCAGTGGCACAATCATAGTTCACTGTAACCTTGACCTCCTGGCCTCATGTCTTCCCACCTCAGCCTCCCAAGGTGCTCTGATTACAAGTGTGGGCCACCAAGCATGGCCCATTCATCCTATTTTCTAAGTGATTCAGTTAACATGACATTTGTTGCATTTAACAAGAATAGGATAAAAAAGAAATAGAGGAGAACATGACATTTGTTGGTTTTTTTTTTTTTTTTGTAATTATACTCTCTGAAAGTATAATTACAAGGTAGGCAGGCTTTTCTCCTCTTCATCTTCCTTCATCTCTTTTCAAAAACTAATATTACTGACCATTCCCATTTTTTACTAAAACCTCACCTGCTGACTTCTGTCACACAAATTTACTTGTTCTCTTACCTCTCTGCCAGTTCCCTTTCAGTCAGCTCTGGCACTTCTTCCTTGGCCTTCTCCTTCAGTGCTACATCTCCTGCAGTCTGTTCTCAGCACTTTTCTTTCTCTCTCACCTGCCTTATAAAGCTCATGGCTTAAGTAACTGTCTCAGTGCAAATGACTGAAATCTCCATCATTAATTCTGACTTTCTCCCAAACTCCAGTCCAATATTTCCAAAATCCTATGCATAGAAATATATTCCTATCCTATAGGTTACCATAAATTCTATCCCTGGCCCCCACCCATTAAATGTCTGTAGCACCCCCTCATACCCCAACTCCTGCCTATAGTGACAATAAGTCTCCAGAGGTTAGCAAATGTTCCCTAGGGGGTACAATCACCTCTGATTGAGAACCAATGACCTAGACATGCTTGTAGAATATAAAAATAAATCAGTGACATTCAAAATATAATAATTGAAAATAAAAATCTGTCCTAAAACTAAAAAAGAAAAAGCAGTTTACCTTTTCAGCTAATTCTTCTGCTGTTATCTTTGGGTCATACGGAATGGGGTCACCTAAATAGGTCCGTAACTTCACTGGAAAACCTCCATACATTGGAGCAAATGGATAGCGGAATTTTTCATAAAGCCACCTAAATAACCCTGTTTTAGAGTAAACACAGTCATTTTAACTTGTTAAGTATTCTGATCATGTAATTGTAAACTTTCAAATTAATTATGTAGAACTTACAGGAAGGTGGCAAAAAGTATCATTTCTTGGCAATTCATACACTTTTTTAAAAAGAAGAGTTTTTCATCAATTATAACAAATATATCACACCAATGCAAGATATTAAAAATAGGAGAAATTGGGGGGTGGTGAGATTTATGAGAACTCTCTGTACTTTCTATAAACCTAAAAATGTACCCCAAAAAAGTCTATTAATTATTTTTTAATGAGCTTTTAAAAGTATAGAAATTTAACAAAAATAAGTAAAAATGAAAAATAAAAATAAAAATACAGTAATTTAAAAGGCAAACAAGTTACTATTATTGCAAAACAAAGGTTAAACTGCTACCAAACTACTAGAGGTGAAAAAGTCTAGAGACTCACATATAAGTAACTTTGATAAATAAAAGAGCAAAAAAAGGAAGAATAAATTTATGTAAATATGAGACTATAATGCAAAATAAACTAGGTAAAGACAAAACATTATTATAAATTAGGAAAAACACATCAAAGCAAATAACTACTAATACTAATGACCAAATATGAAATTTATCAGGATTAAATAAAAGTGGTAATAATGTAAAAATAAACTGATGGACTAAATTTTTTTAAAAATCTAAAATATCATCAAAGGAATCCAAAATAGGCAGGTCACATGGAACACACAGTCATGGATTGTACCAAAAGTTGAAAGTATTGCTTACACATCAAAACACAGAATACACCTTATCCTACAGGACACACACACACCCACACACAAAATCACTAGATACTAGTTTTTGGAATATTCAACTTTAAAGTGAAAAAAAGTGAAAAAAAAAAGCACAGGCAAAATGAATAAATAAACAAAACGCCTGGAATAATTTCTGATTTGTCACTAAATTCTAAATAAATTAGCCAAGAAAAAATTAGAAGAAATAGGCCAGCCATAGTGGCTCACACCTGTAATCCCAACACTTTGGAAGACTGAAGGGGGGTGGATCACATGAGGTCAGGAGTTCAAGACGAGCCTGGCCAACATGGCAAAACCTTGTCTCTGCTAAAAATACAAAAATTAGCCAGGCGTGCTGGCATATGCCTGTAGTCCCAGCTACTCTGGAGGCTGAGGTGGGAGAATCACTGGAACCTGAGAGGTGAAGGTTGCAGTGAGCCGAGATCATGCCACCACACTCCAGCATGGGTAACAGAGAGACTCTGTCTCAAAATAAATAAATAGATAGATAGATGAAATAAATCCACTGTGAAAGTTAAAGATCTCATCAATCTTCCTTTCCACTTTAAATCTGATAAAAAGGGAAAAAAATAAGACTTAAAAAACAGAACGCAGTATCAACAAAATAGCAATGTTATACATATAAGAAACAAGGGCAGTTTAAAGCTCTTCAGAAGGGGACTTATAAGTGGATAGGAACACTAATAATAATAGTGCTAGGATAAAAAGCAAAACAAAACAATAATGCTAGGAATATGTAATACAATCAATTAAATATAATACGCAAACCATAGGGTACAACAACAAGCTGAATATTTCAAAATAAGAAAACAGGTATTGCAAAGAAAAAGCACACCTAATCATTTTTTAATTATTATACTTTAAGTTCTAGGGTACATGTGCACAACGTGCAGGCTTGTTACATATGTATACATGTGCCATGTTGGTGTGCTGCACCCATTAACTTGTCATTTACGTTAGGTGTATCTCCTAATGCTATCCCCCCTCCCCCACCCCACGACAGGCCCCGATGTGTGATGTTCCCCTTCCTGTGTCCAAGTATTCTCATTGTTCAATTCCCATATATGAGTGAGAACATGCGGTGTTTGGTTTTTTGTCCTTGCGATAGTTTGCTGAGAATGATGGATTCCAGCTTCATCCATGTCCCTACAAAGGACACGAACTCATTCTTTTTTATGGCTGCATAGTATTCCATGAGCACACCCAATCATTAACATTGCTATAACTATATTAAAATCTGATTTTTAAAATCTATAAAGGATAGGTAAAAAGAACTTTCCAGTGTAAATGTATTAGGCTGCAAAATATTTTTAAAAAGAACAAGAAGTGATAAATAAACCAAAGCATATGCTATTTCCTTAGGTAGTTCATCTTAGTTCAATATCATATTATCATCCATTTTTAAAGCTGTAACTTCTGGGGTAAGTTAACGAGACTGTTGGGATAGTTTGTAAATGTATTCTAAACCTTGTCACCATGGTTTAAAACAATAAACTAGCTAATTCACTGTGAAGTTTTTTTTTTTTTTTTTTTTTTTTTTTTTTTTTTTTTTTTAGACAGAGTTTCACTCTTGTTGCCCAGGCTGGAGTGCAATGGCACAATCTTGGCTCACCACAACCCTTACCTCCTGGGTTCAAGTGATTCTCCTGCCTTAGCTTCCCGAGTAGCTGGGATTACAGGCACCTGCCACCATGCCCAGCTAATTTTGTATTTTTAGTAGAGATGGGGTTTCTCCATGTTGGCCAGGCTGGTCTCGACCCCTTGACCTCAGGTGATCCTCCCGCCTTGGTCTCCCAAAGTGCTGGGATTATTAGGCGTGAGCCACCGCACCCAGCCTCACTGTAAAGTTTTTAAAAGCCCATTTGAAGAACTTCACTATGTATATGATACTCTCAACAAAAATAGAGCATTAAGAACTGCCATTACTTAAAACTAGTTATCATTTGGACTTTAAACAGAAAAACGTCTAAACAGTATATCAATTTTCTAAAGATAATAATTCAAAAGATTTCCTTGTAGGGTTCAACAGCCCAAATATTTTAAAAATTACATTGTAATTCAAAACCATACAAATCAGAACTTACTTGTTCCTCCAAGTGATCTAAATCCTTCTCGAATATTTTGTGTAAACATAGGAATAATGGGCTAAAGAAAAGGAGAATTTGAATTAAAAAGTAAATAATCCATTCAATGTCTCCATTAAAGTAACTAATGCAAACTTTTTTTTTAAGAAAGGGAAAAGGCATCTATAGCCATGCCACCCTGAACACGCCCTATTGCAGGATTAGGCCAGCAGCCCACAATGCAATGGGGTTCTCTCTTTGTTCCCAGGCAGATCGGCAGGTTGAGAAATAATAGGCACACACAAGATAGTGAAAGCTGGGTCCGGGGCGTCACCGCCTTCTGGTCTCGTGGTGCCACCAATGCACTGGATATGCCAGCATTTATTATTAAGTTTAGTGAGGGCAGGGGTAGTTTAGTGAGGGATTTAGGGTCATTTGATTATGACGTGAGATGGTCACATGGGGATGAAGTAATTCTTTAACATAACATCTGTATGCAGAAGTACAGTATACAGAGATAAGAATTTACAATATAGTGTGTGCATCAGTAATTTCTAACAGAGCACTGAAACAGAAACACAGTCTTTCTATAACCTATGATTAGCAAGATATTAATCAGCAGTAACAGTTGCAGCAAGAGCTGGTTACAAACAATCCATAGAAACAGGATGTGAAGCTAGACAACCGGTTAGACCAGAAATTCTCAGAAGGGAGTATGCCTTAACCCTAAAAAGGCCTACAAGAGCCGTGGCAACATGAGGGTGTTTATAGCCCTATCTTATCCATATGGACAGGCGCCCCTCATGCATCCATTTATAAGCTCTCCACAAGGGTCACATTCCATTCCCAGAGCTATGAACATTTGCTTTTCTGGGATAGGAATCTTGGTGATGTGAAACCTCCCTGACTGCACGTCCATTCACAGGCTCTCTGCAGGCGGAAGCACATCACGCGCTGTTGGCTCATTCTGGCAGTCCAACCTGGCATTGTCTTTACACAATCCTGCATGCAATTTTACATTTACAATAATCAGGAGCATTTTATCTTTTATTCTCTAGCAATAGTTTCAGGGGGTCTCCCTACAATCTCGTCTGATCTCAGAAGCTAAGCAGGGTCGGGTCTGGTTAGTACTGGCATAGGAGAAAGAGAAAAGGCATACAAATTTATTAGCATGGGAGTGTGGGGGATCACAAAGTGATTATGCAAACTTTTGAAGGCCTGTTTGATATTATGAAAACAAAATATTTTTAAAATAAAAGCACACATGATTGGTTTATCAACTAAATGCAACTTGATCATTTGTAAAAATAGAAATTGGAAACACTACCCTCCAGTGGTAATATATATTTCATTGACCAATTTTCCTAACATTTCACATAAAACCTTGAAACTCAAAATAGAGATTACAGTAATCACTAATTTCACTAAATAAAATGAATGTGGTAAACTGAATTGGCTTTAGTGGGCTACTGAATAGTATGCTCACTGGAGAAAAGTTGCAAGCAAGGATTCTAAGGGGAATTTTTCAGGGGGAGTTGGGGACAGAGTCTCACTCTGGCTCAGGCTGGATTGCAGTGGTGTGACCATGACTCACTGCAGCCTCAACCTCCCAGGTTCAAGCAATTCTCCTACCTTAGTCTCCCAAAGTGTTAGGATTATAGGCGTGAGTCACTGTACCTGGCTCCAAAGGGAAATTTATGTATATTTAAATAACAAGTTTTGGCAAGATGCTGTCATGGAATTGGTACAATTTTTTGTGAGTCTATTAAATCTAAAATACTCAACATCAATGAAAAGTAACTAGAAGTCTCAACCACATAGACAAAAAGGAAAAGCACATATATTAAAGAATTTGGCCGGGTGCAATGGCTCGTGCCTGTAATCTCAGCACTTTGGGAGACCAAGGCAGGTGGATCACTTGAGCCCAGAAGTTCGAGACCAGCCTAGGCAACATGGCAAAACCCTGTCTCTATAAAAAGATGTAAAATTATCCGGGTGTGGTGGTACGTGCCTGTAGTCTCAGTTACCTGGGAGGCTGAGGTGGGAGGATTGTTTAAGACCAGGAGACAGAGGTTGCAGCGAACCACGATCACACCACTGCACTCCAGTATGGGCAATAGAGCGAGACACCGTCTCAAAAAAAAAAAAAAAAAAGAATTCTCCATAATTGTTTGATGTTAGAGAATTTCTGCTAATAAGTTCATGATTTTTATTTTCCAAAAATATCAATGATTCAGTATGTTTTTTAATAATGAAGACCTTAAATACATATAAAATAATGAAGTATTGATATGTAAAGAGGTTATGTCACTGTGAATACTGAAGTAGATAAAAAATTGAAACACTTGAAAATACACATAAGATACTGAATTAAATGATACTTCAGAATAGACAAAATTTTGGTTGGGGGAATATTATATTACTTACAGTCAACCATGAGTAAATGCCTAATACCAAATTACCTGCTTAATGAGTGAGATATTTAAATAAGCTGATATCTTAAAAGTCATTCCTACTAAGCTTTGGAAAACAGTAAAATACAGTGGACTGAAGGAAAGAGACTACAGGCAAAGCCTTCATAAAACCTACTACTTCACATATAACTAACGAATCATTTGATATCTCTCTCCTCTCACCAGAAGGAAGATGCCTAATATACTGCAGGGACATTGTTTTGTTCACTGCTGTATAGCACCTAGAACAGTGCCTGGAATCCACTAGGTGCTAAAAGAAAGTGAGATGGCGGAATTAAACAAAGAGATAATGCTGCTAAATGAATTAATTTGTACTCTCTGAATACAAAAGTCAGAAGTAGACAGCAGCAATCTCAAAATCAGTTAGGAAAAGGGGAGAAGTTAGGTAAAGAAAAGCAGTCAGGGCTGGGCATGGTGGCTTACGCCTGTAATCCCAGAATTTTGGGAGGCCGAAGCAGGTGGATCACTTGAGGTCAGGAGTTCGAGACCAGCCTGGCCAACATGGTGAAACCCCATCTCTACCAAAAGTACAAAAATTAGCCAGGCGTGGTGGCCGGCATCTGTAACCCCAGCTACTCAGGAGGCTGAGGCAGGAGAATCACTTGAACCCAGGAGGCGGAGGTTGCAGTGAGCAGAGATCATACCATTGTGCTTCAATCTGGGTGACAGAGCAAGACTCTGTCTCAAAAAAAATAAAAATAAAAAACAGCAGTCAAATGAAGAAATTAAAATTTGATGGAGTTAACTCATAAAGCTAAAACACAAGAAGATAAAGAAGATAAAATACACTGAATTATTTATACATATAAGTAAATATAGTTTATTTGCTTGTTTTTGTAGAGATGGGGTCTTGCTTTGTTGCTCAGGTTAGTCTTGAACTGGCTTCAAGGGATCCTCCTGCCTCAGCCTCCCAAAGTGCTGGGATTACAGGCATGAGCCTCCATACCTGGCTCTTTTATTATTATATAATAATTATATAATTATATTATTAATTATTATTATCCGGAAATCACTACTAGTTTTGTAAAATAAAATTAGTTACGTAAAATAAAATATTAGGATGACTGAAATCATAATGTTTTAAATAGTTATAAAATGTCTTTAGAGTTGAGAACCGAAAATGTCCAAGAAGAAACAGAAATATTTCAGCTCATGCATATAACATTTGCCACTTCCAACCAGTATGGCTGGATTTATATCTACTGACTGGCATGATCCCAGAATTCTGTATTGATGTATGCATTTATAAAGACTTTTCTGTTGAAATATCATTCCTTAAATAGCTACCTCTCCAGAAGCTGGACATTTCTAGAGCCCACTAAATAAAAGAAAGCTTACCCTAGCAGGCTCAGTATTCCCCACTATAGTCTGGGAATATGGTTTCTACATTGGCACTCAAGCTTTCATCCTTAAAGCCACAAGCATTACTTTACCCCAACTTGATCTTGCAATATAATTATTCATTCCTCTTATTTAAGATGGAGTCTTGCTCTGTTGTCCAGGCTGGAGTGCAGTGGCATGATCTAGGCTCATTGCAACCTCCGCCTTGTGGGTTTTTAAGTGATTCTCCTGCCTCCGCTTCCCATGTAGCTGGGATTACAGGCATACGCCACCACACCCAACTAATTTTTTTGTGTGTTTTTAGTAAAGACAGAGTTTGACCATGTTGGCCAGGCTGGTCTGGATCTCCTGACCTCAAGTGATCAGCCCGCCTCAGCCTTCATTTCTTCTTTTATGCATACTTTGTACACAAAGGAGTTGCATCAGCAACCTAGAATTCAATTGTTTACATATACAAATGTGTCTATATGTATGTGTGTGTGTACGAGGGGGGGGGGGGGGAGGGAGGAGGGGAGGGAGAGAGAGAGAGAGAGAGAGAGAGAGAGAGAGAGAGAGAAAGTATATATATATTTTTTTTGAGGCAGAGCCCTGCTGTCGCCCAGGCTGGAGCACAATGGCACAATCTTGGCTCACTGCAACCTCTGCCTCCCAAGCTCAAGTCATCCTCCAACCTCAGTTATCTGAGTAGCTAAGACCATGCCCAGCTAATTTTTGTACTTTTAGCAGAGATGGGGTTTCACCATGTTGCCCAGGCTGGTCTCAAACTCCTGGCCTCAAGTGATCCTCCTGCCTTGGCCTCCGAAAGTGCTGGGATTACAGGCATGAGCCTCCATGTCCAGCTAAGAATGTATATTTTTAAAAACTATTATCGGGGTCTTGACGTCTTAACTCTGTCACTAAAAATGTGGTAGCCATTGTACAAGTTACTTACCATGTTTAAGCCTCACTTTCTTCATGCAAAACATGGGGATAAATAATAATAATAATCTCTATCTCAAAGCTTTTTATGGATAAAGTGAGATAACTAATATAATTTTATTGAAACAAAATATTATTTTCTTTTATATCTGCTATTTATTTTACAATTAAATGGGCTAGTTTTCTCCTCAACTTATTTAGACATGAAATTAGCTAAAAAGTTCTTATCAAAGTCATAGGTCTCAAGAATTCACAAAACCAGGGTGATTTGTATTATATCAAAAAGTCTGTCACTTTCAAATAAACCTTAATATTTTCTACCAATATTTTGTGAACTTGCCTTGACAATCAGGCTTTTTCCCCTTTAATTTCTATTACTATGTCACAATTTAAATGTGGTTAATCCTGTAACAATAGCCTTAAATTTTGTTCACAGCTTATAATTTTGTGAGGTCAATTAAGGGATTTTCCAGATGGGATACTTGTGCCACTTACAACTATATATATATATATATATTACTGAAAGGTTTCCCTCACGTATCTGGGAAGCCCCTTCAGTCTCAGATGTCAGCAGACTCACTGTGCAATGTAGTCAGGAATGGCAACAATACCAGTTGCCTCGAGTTCTGAACTGTGTGCTCTGCTCTGCTGCTGCCTTGCTGAGTGACCAGATCCCTTCCATCCCTCCATCTCTCTGTGCCTGAGTCTCCTCATCTGCAACATTGGAATAATTACATGTATCACCTCCTTACTGAATAGGAGTACAAGATAAAGAGTTTAAAAGTGCTATCAGAGGTTAGGGTGGCACAATATTTATCAAACGTATAAGATTTCTGTTTGTTTTTAAACTTATAGAAAGGTATTTCTTAAACTTTCTGAAGTTTTATATACAAATCTCAATTAAATTATTTAGATTATTTAAATTAATTATCTGGAAACTCGAGGATTAGAAAGAGTTCTTTTCTCTATATAATTTATCCCTTTCAGGCCTTCTTCCAAGCAATATGCTGTTGAAAATGTAAACTAAAGAATGAGGAATTAGAATCCCATGGCATATTTATGTGATTTTAAATCTATTTTTGTCATCTTTATCTTAAACTTTTGAAGCAACAATTCTTTGCAAATATAAACTTGAAAACTTAACCTTATCTTTGATTAGGACTTTAGCTTTTATCATTGTTTTCATATACATTGTATCATTCTTAATTTTTGTATAACTGCATATATCCTTTTATATTCTATATTATTCATCTAGCCTAGGTTTTTGTTTTCTACGTCAGTGCTTAAGACTTTGGGAAATAAGTAAAATGTGCCATAATTCATTTTCTATACAACTAAAAAACTAAGTTACTGACAATATTCTTTAACTGGCCTGGAAAAAGAACAATACTCTATCAAACATAACTTCTTTTTCTGACAATCAAAATTAAACAGAAACCGAAGGAGAAATATTCCATAGGTAATAGATAAGTGTTTCATAGGCTAAAGTACAATATGGAGACCAAAAGGCTAGGAAATACTTTCCAAAGCCAAAATAAAAGAACAAAATGACATTCAAATTCTCCAGTCATGTTTTTTTTGTTGTTTTTTTGTTTCTGAGAGTCTCGCTCTGTCACCCAGGCTGGAGTGCAGTGGTGTGATCTCAGCTCACTGCAACCTCCGCCTCCCAGGTTCAAGCAATTCTCCTGCCTCAGCCTCCCGAGTAGCTGGGATTACAGGCATGCACAACCATGCCCAGCTAATTTTTGTATTTTCAGTAGAGACAAGGTTTCACCATGTTGGCCAGGCTGGTCTCAAACTCCTGACCTCGTGGTCCGCCCGCCTCAGCCTCCCAAAGTGCTGAGATTACAGATGTGAGCCACCGCACCTGGCCTATATACTAATTTTTAAAGTATTGCAGTGAAAGTGTCTAAGTTCTTATACACTGGCTCATTACTTAACCATGTATTTTAAATTTGACTAAGCTTTACTTTAATAATTAATTTTATACAACTTACCACTTTTGCATCAATTGCAACCTGAGCAAAGCCTTTGCGATGACCCCATACAATGTTGTAAGTTTCATCACTAATTAGGGCTTCTCGAACTCCACCTGGTGAGATAGCTAACAAGTGGCCACTCCTCAGAATTTCAACACATTTTTCTCTTGGTCCATGTAGAGCACAAAACACATCCAGTAATAAACTAAAGCCTGTAAGAAACATGAGTATGAAGATACGACATAATTATTTCTTGTCTGATTCTTCTAAAGCAAAAATCTTCACAAACTACATAGTTTACTATTTATACTTAAATCATAACTTTTACGTTTTAAAATCAACAAAAACTCGAAAGGTTAACTTAAGCTTTATATTGTTGGTTAAGTAATAGCTGCATCTTACTTATCACCTACCATTGATTACCACCTCATACTGACTACCTACTACTCTGGCTCAAATTCTTAAGTAAAACTCACAACAATCTTGACAAACAGGTATTCTTCCTCCACCTTTACAAATGGGAAAACTTGGGCTTACAGAATAATAGCTTGCTCAAAGTCACACATCTAAGAAGTGGCAGGGCAGAGACTCCAGAAATGGGATTCTGATGGGATTCAAAAATGATATCCCATCAGCAATCAGAAATCTAATCTTCCATTAACCCTATAAAAAAGAGAATCACTCAGGAGAATGTTAATCAAACTATGCTTAGCTCTGCCAAAAGTGGTAAGATCATGATCAAATCTATTTAAATTAAAAGTTAGATAATGCTAATTCTATAATTAAATTTTTAAAATAATAATAGCAAACATCATTAAGAGATTTTAATAAAGTGAGAGTGCTTGACTCAGGAACAGCTAATTCCAAGTCTTAATATTTTACTGCTTTTCAAATTACAACTATTTATGGATGAAAGAAATAATCCTGTTTGTAATTAAATATTTTAATCAAATCACATACTGGAACTTCTGAGGACTGATGTTAGTATACATTATTCCCTGAGAATGGGAAATATAGGATCTTAAAAACTACACAGACTGGTCAGACACGATGGCTCACGCCTGTAATACCAGCACTTTGGGAGACAGAGGCAGGCGGATCACTTACAGTCAGGAGTTCAAGACCAACCTGGCCAACGTGGTGAAACCCTGTCTCTACTGAAAATACAAAAATCAGCCTGGCGTGGTGGCACGTGCCTGTAATCCAACTACTCAGGAGGCTGAGGCAAAAGAATGGCTTCAACCCAGGAGGCGGAGCTTGCAGTGAGCTAAGATCAAGCCACTGCACTCCAGTCTGGGCAACAGAGCGAGACTCTCTCAAAAAAAGTTAAAAATAAAAATTTGTCACTTTACATCACATTAAATGTTCACTGATTCAACTAGATGCATTCTGATAATGAATGAATGAACAGGGGAGGATTCATACTTAATAAAATGTAAAATTTCTATTTTTTTTTTTTTGGAAACAGGGTCTTGCTTTGTCACCCAGGCTGGAACGCAGGGGCATAATAGTAGCTCACTAGAGCCTTGCTCTACTGGGCTCAAGCGATCCTCTCACTCAGCCTCCCAAGTAGATGGGACTCCAGGCACTGTGCCACTATGCCTGACTGATGTTTTTTTCTTTAACTTTTAGTAGAGACGAGGTCTTGCTATGTTGCCCAGGCTGGTTTCAACATTCTGAGCTCCAGCAATACTCCGCTTCAACCTCACAACGTGCTGGAATTATAGCTGTGAGCCACAGCACTCACCCTAAAATCTCTCTTGTGCTGAGAATTATGATTTTATTCCTTCAGAAAGCAAAGAAGGACTTAAGATAAATTAGCGTCAAAATATTTAAAAAATCATAAAGAGGGTAATATTTTGAAAAAGGCAAATGCAAAAAATATTCACATTTTATTATTCCTAAAAATGAAAAAAAAAAAAAAAATAGAAACAACCTAATGCTCCATAAGAGAAAAACAGTTAAGTAAATGTTCCAGTCATACACTAAACCTTTTTCTTATAAAACATGGTAAAAATGTTAATGCTAACATTAAATCTTAAAAAAAAAACCCACAAAATTGCCTATGTGACTGTAGGTAAAAAAATAAACTAAATAAAAAATGATAACATTATGTTAAGATGGTAAAATTATAATCATGTTCTGTTTTTTAGTTTCCAAATCTACTACAGTGATCATGTTAGTTTTTTACAGAAAACATAGCCAATACTGCTTATACACAAAGTACAAATGATTTTTTAGTGACACACGGATACCCAAAGCATTAGCTGTTATAGGCAATGAAGTAGGTCATTACTTAATTCACTGTTTGGTTGTGTTTGTCTGGTTGATATGTCAGCTTTTGCTTTTATTCCACAGAACATACTATCAACTCTCTTGGCTTGTTTCTGGTGATTCAGTGACAGAAGAAAGTAAGATTTAATCTCAATGAGTTTACTCAAGAATGATATTTGTAAAACTCTAAACTATTTCGTTAATTAATCTTTTTAAAATATATATATACATAAGGGTGGCCAGGCACAATGGCTCATGCCTATAATCTCAGTACTTTAGGGAGGCCGAGGTGGGCGAATCACCTGAGGTCAGGAGTTCGAGACTAGCCTGGCCAACATGGTGAAACTCCATCTCTACTAAAAGTATAAAAATTAGCCAGGCATGGTGGCAGGAGCCTGTAATCCCAGCGACTTGGGAGGCTGAGGCAGGAGAATCACTTGAACACAAGAGACGGAGGTTGCAGTGAGCCGAGATTGCACCATTGCCCTCCAGCCTGGGCAACAAGAGTGAGATTCCTTCGCAAAATAAATAAATACATACATAAACATACACACATACATACACATACACACACACACACACACACGGCCCACTAGGCATGGCGGCTCATGCCTATAATCCCAGCATTTTGGGGAACTGAGGTGGATATATTATCTGGGGTCAGGAGTTCGAGACCAACCTGGACAACATGGTAAAACCCTCTCTACTAAAAATACAAAAATTAGCCAGGTTTGGTGACAGGCGCCTGCAATCCCAACTACTTGGGAGGCTAAGGCATGAGAACTGGTTGAACCCAGGAGGCAGAGGTTGCAGTGAGCCAAGATTGTGCCACTGCACTCTAGCCCAGGTGACAGAGCAAGACTCTGTCTCAAATAAAATTAAAATAAAATAAAATAAAATAAAATATATATACACACACACACACACACATATACACACACACACATACATACATATGACCTTTATAAACACATTTTTTTAAATGTAATCTTCACGGCTGGGTGCAGTGGCTCACTTGTAATCCCAAACCTTTTGAAGGCCACAGTGGGAGGATCACTTGAGGCAAGGAATTTGAGACCAGCCTGGGCCACACAGCAAGACCCCATATCTAAATAAATAAATATAAATAATGTAGTACTCAATCTTATTGTTATAAATTTTATCAGGCAAGTTACACATGATAAGAGACATGATATATATACTCTTTAGGGTAGTATAATATTATGTGAAGACAAAAATACATCTTTTTTTTTTTTTTTTGAGTCGGAGTCTTACTCTGTTGCACAGGCTGGAGTACAGTGGCACGATGTCAGCTTACTGTAATCTCCGCCTCCCAGGTTCAAGTGATTCTCCTGACTCAGCCTCCCGAGCAGCTAGGCCTACAGCAGGCCTATTAGCCACCATACTGGACTAATTTTTGTATTTTTAGTAGAGATGGGGTTTCACCATGTTGGCCAGGCTGGTCTTCAACTCCTGACCTCAGGTGATCTGCCCAACTCATCCTCCCAAAGTGCTGGGATTACAGGCATGAGCCACTGTGCTTGGCCAAGACAAAATATATCATGACTTTTTATTTTTTTAAACTAATTTTAATTTGCTATCAAACTGAGAGTTATCAAACTCTAATTATAACAAAATTAAACTCCAAAAATCAGTATTTCATGAAAAAATTCATTACATGAAAAATCAACTGAGCTCTAAATCAAAATATAAATTGGCAAAAATCACAATTTATGTTTTTAAAGTTACAGTTCAAGATACAACTTAGAAAAATAACAAGTAAATACCTGCTTAAAAAGTAAAAAATTACATTGGGTAGATATTCCCTATGTAGTTAATGGGTGCACTAGAAGCTCAGACTTCACCACTACACAATAGATGCATTAAGAAAACTGCACTTATACCCCCTTAATACATAAAAATATATTTGTTAAACAAGGAAAATTTAAAAACATTTTTAAAAAACATTATGTTATATACCATAAAGTACAACTTTCACTTAAAAATAAACAATTTTAAAATGTATAAAATAAAAAATGAGCTAACATTTTTGGCCACAATGTCTTTATTTTTAGATATATTGCCTAAAAAGGATGATTAGATATTCCCATATTAGAGTTCCAAGTTTGTTACATACACCCTAAAAAGGCAAAAAGCTTTTTCAAATGACATTAGAGAGCTCAAGATAGAGATGATCACATAACTTGGTTTTGTTAATAAAACATTTTTACATTACTATCTACAGTGACAGTTTACCTGGAATTTTAAAGACAAAGTGATCAGCTACTACTCGGCAAGTTCTGCCTTTGTGTATAAATATTTTGGCCATGAAATAGTAAAAATCTATAGGAATAGCTCCATGATAAAAAATTATAAGTGCTGGTCCATCTTCTGGTATTTTCTCCATTCCATGAACTTCATAACCTGTTCGAAAGACAAAATGCATACACTTAAGATAAATTCATTAATTTGTTTACACTAAAGGATGGTTGGTAGCTCAGCCTTTTCTCACAAAAGTCCACTAGTCTTCCTGGTTCTCTTCCCCTTTCCCCCTTCTTCCCTCTCTTTCCTCTTCTCTTTCTTTCTTGAACAAATCAGTCCTACAGCCATTAGGTGGGCCACAGTGAAGTGGACACCTGTTTGGAGAGGTGGCCTGGAGTGGGGAGTCAGCCAGAGCAGTCATGAAGGCACCACACAGAAGACAGCCTATCACAGGGTGGGGGGCTGCTAAGGGGGAGGAGAGGAGGCAAGGGTCATGGAAGCTTGGGGATCACAGCCTGAGTGAAATGGGGGCATCCACAACCAGCAGCAGCCTGGCAGGAGGGGCCAGAGCCCAAAACAGGTGGCCTGGTGTGGGGCATCACAGCCTGAGCGGCTAGCGAGGGCACTGTACAGAGTGGTGGCCTGGCACAAGCAAGGAGAGGGCATCCATGAGTTGTAGGGGAAGGCAGCAATGATGGGAGATGGGTAACACACAGGGGGACTGATCAAATGAGTCAACATAGCAAGAATAATGGGAGCTAGGTTTCACTGTTAGAGGAGGGGGTTGAAAACATTAAAAAGGAGAGTATTATTAAAAAGAGAAACTCTGTAGCCACAACGGAACATCACTCCCACCCTACTAATGAGAAAAAGCCTGGAATACAAATCTTTTTTCTTAAGCATGTCAGAGAGCAGAGGTCATAAGGCAACCAGGCGAACTGAACTTCAAAGGGTGATAAACCCCTCTAAGGAAAGATAAAAACTGAGAATGGGAGGAAGAGGCAGATGCCATAAAAGTGGGTAAGAAGTGACACATTAAAAAATACTTCAAGTCCCAGGGTGGGCTAGTATTGAATGTAGAATCTCTGGGAGCCCCAGGTAGTCACTCTCCAACTTCTCCACAGACCTCAGTGTGTGCTCACAAGAAAGATTAGAGGTGAAGCTGAAGAGTAAAGAGAGCCCCTGCTAATGGTACAGGGAGCAAAAAACCCCACTCACTTCCTGGAATTTTCTCTCATGGAAGCAAAATCTGTCAGACACTGGGAAAGGGGCAGGAAACCCTTTCACTCCCTCTGAGAAAAGGGTATATGCAAAAGGCATGTAAAGCTGGGAGGGGCAGAGCTCCACTCCCCTTCCCCACACACTCCTCCACCCTCACCAGCCCAGTGTCAGGCAAAAGCTCACTATTCTAGAGAAGGGGTAGAAGCAAAATATCTACCGCTGGGCAGTGGGGGTGCGTGGCAGGAAACTCTGGGGGGCCCAGAGTCCTTAAGGGACATAAATCAGAGATCTACCACGGAGGCAGTAGCAGCAAACTTGCTCCCATGACAAAACCCCCAACACAAGGAGAACGGAAGGGAACACAGAAAGCCTCACCCCTAAGCCCCAGAAATAAAGAGCCCAATAAGATTTTAGCTAAACCTGAAAACTGAGGAGTGCTATACCTCAGCTCCCGGGGGAATGAGGGCAGGGGCATGAAGAAGGGGTATGAGGAGTCCCCATGTACCTCCATGTGGAGTTATAAGCAGAGGCGACCTTTTCCTGGGGTCACAGGAGGGGCACGAAGAGACTCCTCCTGTGGCAAAGGCATACAGGACTGAAGGTGGAGCAGAAACAACCAAAAAATCCCTCTACTTCAGGCCCTACACTATGCACAAGATAACAGTAGGAGTCTGAAGTCTGTGCTGAACTGAAGGTAGCTGCAGCGCAGCAATAAAAGCTAAATCCAGTTCAACCACTCAGTACATTGAATCCACCTCCAACCAACCACCAATGGCCTAACAGATTCTTAGTCATAAATACTATTCATGAGCCAATTCTCAGTCATAAATACTATTTATCCATTGTTCTTTTACAATGGCCAGAATTGAATTAAAAATGACGTAAAATAGCAAGAAAAAAAACCCACTGTCAAGAGCTAAAACAATTAACACACCCAAATGTTGAAACTATCAGGTGGAAACTATAAAATAACTATGATTAATAAGTTAAAGGGGAATGCAGTGGCTCAAGCCTGTAAATCCCAACACTTTGGGAGACTGAGGTGGTAGGATTTTTGAGTCCAAGAGTTAGAGACCAGCCTGGGCGACATGGCAAGACCCATCTCTGCAAAAACGTAAAAAAATTAATTGGGCATGGCGGCATGTGCCTATAGTCTCAGTTACTTGGGAGGCTGAGGCGGGAAGACTGCTTGAGCCCAGAAGGTGAAGGCTGTAGTGAGCTATGATCATGCCACTGCACTCCAGGCTGGGTGACAGTGCGAGACCCTGACTCTAAAAATAAAAATAAATAAATAAACTTAAAGGATCCAGTGGAAAAGGTGGATACACGCGCAATCAGATTAGGAATTTCAGCAGAAAGATGGAAACTATAAAAAAATAGAGTCAAATAGGAAGGCTGTAAACTTAAATGAGCTCTAAAGATTTGATGTTAGTAACATAACAATGTTAATTTTCCAATTTTAATGGGTTTACTGAGGTTAAGTATGAGAACATCCTTATTTGCAGAAGCTATCAAATAAGTTACAACTTCTCTGAGATAACATGACCTACAGTAAATTTAAAAATGAGTCATAAAATAATTCATCAATAAAAATAGAAAAAGTAGTCCAGGTGTGATGGCTCAAGCCTGTAATGCCAGTTCTTTGGGAGGCCAAGGCAGGAGGATTGCTTGAGGCTAGGAGTTCAAGATCAGCCTGGGCAAATCAGTGAAATCCCTGCCTCTACAAAAAAAAAAAAAAAATTAAGTAAATACAGGCCGGGCACAGTGGCTCATGCCTATAATACCAGCACTTTGGGAGGGTGAGGCGGGAGGACCACCTGAGGTCAGGAGTTCGAGACCAGCCTGGCCAACATGGTGAAACCCTGTCTCTACTAAAAATACAAAAATTAGCCAGGTGTGGTGGCATGCACCTATAGTCCCAGCTACTCAGGAGGCTGAGGCAGGAGAATCACTTGAACTTGGAAGTGGAGGTTGCAGTGAACTGAGCTCACACCACTGCACTCCAGCCTGGGACACAAGAGAGAGACTCTGTCTCAAAACTAAGTAAATATAAATAAAAATAAAAAATACATGTTTTTAAAACAGGAAAAATTATTAGTGACCCAATGTAAAATAAAATACCATTTACACTGTTACATATACACAGATACCACAATGCTGTAAACTTTAAGTTCATTCACAAACATAAGACTTCACTTTTATGTATTTAAACAATTCCTTACAAATGTCCTCATTCTATTCATGAAAAAAACAAAAATGATTTTGTACAACCTTATTACATGTGGGGGAAAAACTTTAATCACAGATTTGAACTAGATTACAAGAAAATCTCTGTCCTGTAGTAGAAGCAAGATCAGAGGCTCATGCCATCCCTGCCCCTTCCTTCCACACTGCAAGCCCTATTTTACGTCTCTGCAAACGGAAGAAAGGGTTTCAGCAGTGGGAGTAAATGACAGGATGAAAGGTGGTGGACCTGGAGAGAGGATGATATCTGGAAGCTTCCTGCTAAAATACGCCCAGTTCCAGGCTGGCTGTTTGTTCTCCTCCCTTAGCTAACATTACCTGCCTGCTGTCCTCTATATGGCTACCAAGGCCAACAAATTTATTTCTTACAGCAATGCCGTACTGTTGGCAGTTAGTAGGGAATAGAAAAGATTTAAGTAAGATCCACCTATGCCTCAGAGGAAAAATCCTATGTATTTGATCACAGAAGTTGGGAAGTCAAGATATTCTAAGGAGTGAATAAAATGGTGATCATGGCACTAGCCATAAAATCCACATTCCCTTCCCATGTCACCACTGTCAGACACACCATTACAGACCGCGGCCTCCACTGGTCCTGGCAAAAAGAAAAAAGTGAGCATCCAGAGATCAAGGGCAGAATCAGGATCAAAGAAAAAGGGTGAAAAAGAAGGAAATCTAGAGTGGTTGTAATAGGAAAGTAAGTTCTTAGGGCCAATTCCTCCACATAGAACAGCTGTCTCTAGAAAGGCTGTCATTTGTATAGAAGACCAAATTAAAGTCCAGAATATAGAAATCTGAAAATATCAGTCTGTTTCTTTCCTTAAGTGTATTCCTGTCTGATCAGCTAAGAAATAAACATTCAAAAAATAAAGACTTCAGTCTAAATTTCAGAGCAGGAAATACATTTCTAAAGTAGTTTATAAGATCTTCACAAAACAGATCAAATTAAGTATGATAACTGTGATTCTAGTATGAAATAAGCTACTCAAATGGACTTGAGAATGTTTTGAAAAACAATTTAATGATATTCCGAGATTTTATATGTTTTCATATTATATCATTTCTTTCCAATTATATAATTCTAACTCAAGTAATTCAATTTACTTTAAGCTCTACAAACCAGTCACTGAGTTTGTCTGAGGATCAATTGTCCCATCAAATACATTTTCTGAGCAATAAAGAAACTCCTTTGAAGGATTCTATATAGAATATTACCGAGGTTCTCTCTGGCTTTATAGAGTATTTTTTAAAATAATAAACAATTGAACTACTCACATAATACCAAACCACCTGGTTGAAAGCAGAAAAATCCAATTAATCAAATATTTAAAAAAAAAAAGTTTACTATAGTGCCAATAAACATGAAAACCTAGTACTATTTAACTGTGTCACTCTTAAAACAGATGTGATCATACTACTCCCTGCTGAGAAAGTATCAGTGCAATACCACTCTAGTCCAACACTTTCAAGCCCCTTGAGGCCCCCATTGCCTATGAGGTGACATTACATTATTTCATATATCATATGAACTAACTGTGGCTCCCAGAGTACTTTTCCACCTTTGTGCTTCTGCTCGCGTGGTTGCTATTCTTGGAGCACTTCCTGTTCATGTTTCCCTGTCTAGCAGTAAAAATCTTACTGCACTTTAACTCCTCCTCCCTCAAGACTCTACACTCAGTCCCCAAGTTCTGTCTATTTTACCTCCAAGAGCTTTCTCAAATGTATACTCCCAGGTATCTGGGGTTGTAACCTGGCTCTATTCCTAGTATACCCTGGGCAAATAACAACCTCTCTGTGCCTCAATTTCCTCATGAGTAAAATCGGGGTACCACATAGACTCCATTATATTATGAGATTTAAAGCAGTTAATTTATGTTAAGCATTTGACAGTGTCTGACATAGTAGGTGCTCAAAAAAAATTTGTAGGTTCGTTAAATATGTATGTAGTATTAAAATGACAACACATTAGTCTAATAAGCATGTCATTGGTGATTTCTGCTAATAGCAGCCTAATAGTTCAGTGATATATATCCTCAAGTGTCATTTTAAAGTCTGCGCTTCCTTCCATGTCCTTCTATGAAACCACTTTGATGCTCAGCAACATAATACAGAAAGCCAATGTTTGTTACATGGCTATTGAACCTTCAGAATTTTTGTGTAGTCTAAAAACAAAAGAGACCAACAAACTAGGTATTGGTGGAATAATGAAGTAAAAGTTGGTAGAATGAAACACTAAACACTTAAAAACCAGAAGGCAACTTTCATGATTGCCAAACAAAGAAGAACCACCAATCATTAAGTACACAACATCAAAATTTCTCGAGTAATAAAGAAAAGAATGACTATCCTAGAGAGAAACCTATTGCTATCGTATTTATTCAGAAAATGCGTAAATTTTGGTATGCAAATTATATTTAATGTAATATTATTTAATATTTCATTTTATTAAATCCACACTGGTAAAGTCAAACTTATTTTGAACAGAAGTAAACGCTAAATAATTGAAGCTTTCTTTTTTTTTTCCTGAGACGGAGTCTTGATCAGTCACCCAGGCTGGAGTGCAGTGGCACTATCTCGGCTCACTGCAAGCTCCGCCTCCCGGGTTCACGTCATTCTCCTGCCTCAGCCTCCCGAGTAGCTGGGACCACAGGTGCCCACCACCATGCCCAGCTAATTTTTTCTGTATTTTTAGTAGAGACAGGGTTTCACCATGCTAGCCAGGATGGTCTTGATCTACTGACCTCGTGATCCACCCGCCTCGGCCTCCCAAAGTGCTGGGATTACAGGTGTGAGCCACCGCACCCAGCCAATTGAAGCATTTTTAAAGCAGTTTCTATAGTTTTAATTAGTCTCTTACTCTTTTAGATGTTTTAAATATAAATTTTCATATTTCAGCTTATAGTCTACAGTGCTACGTGGTTGTTTAATAGAAACTAATGTCTATGGGAAAACTCATTTTAAGAAAGACACGTGCATATGCACAATGCATGCAAACAGATAACAGGGAATAGTAAATATCACTTCTATTGTATTTTTCAGGATCTTCTCAATCAATAAAATGGAAGGTAACACAGTTCCAATGCAGCACATATGAATGGCAACACAAAGGTGAAAGTATCCATGCTTACCATGCCAAACGGCTGCATGTCCATCCCACAGAGTTGCCACCGTTTTCCTTGCACCATCCCATAAATTATGAGAGTAGGCTTCTTTTAATACATTCTTTCTCTTATAAATGTGTAAGAAAATAATGGTAAGGTAGAGAAGAAAGATAGTAAAGTAAGGAAGTATTAAAAGTATTAGCGGCGTAAAAACCCACAAGAGATAGTTTGCAAAATTCAAATAGTCCTCCAACTGCTCCACACCAAACCATTCTTCCAGTATGTGAATCAGACAAAGCATATAGGGCACAGAATCCTGTCCTAGACCACAGGTTTGATTTTTGTCTATCATTTTTCTTTAGGTGAAAATGACAAATTTAGTTTCTTTCTTCATTGCCATAGCAGGTCGTTAATTTTGACACTAGAAGAGAAAAATAATCCAGCATTATTTTCTCCACAGCTATAAAGTTAAATGTTTTACTCTACTTAAATAGTATATAGAGTCATTTCTTAATACCAAAAATGAGTAGATGGCTAATGGTTAACTTTGTTGCAGATTTAAATGTGAAAATTATAAGGTTTCATCTATCTGTTCATGAAGTGTGTCATGTTTAGCTTTTGAAATAATTCACTATAATTGAGAGAAGAAAATAAAGCTATAATTAAGAGAAGAAAATAAAGCTGATGAGGATAACAATTTCAGATTGATTTTAATAATTTGACTCCTGCCGGGCGCGGTGGCTCAAGCCTGTAATCCCAGCACTTTGGGAGGCCGAGACGGGCGGATCACGAGGTCAGGAGATCGAGACCATCCTGGCTAACACGGTGAAACCCCGTCTCTACTAAAAACACAAAAAACTAGCCGGGCGTGGTGGTGGTCGCCTGTAGTCCCAGCTACTCGGGAGGCTGAGGCAGGAGAATGGCGTAAACCCGGGAGGCGGAGCTTGCAGTGAGCTGAGATCCGGCCACTGCACTCCAGACCGGGCGACAGAGCGAGACTCCGTCTCAAAAAAAAAAAAAAAAAAAAAAAAAAAAAAAAATAATTTGACTCCTATCTTAACTGGATCATGTTGAAAATTAGATCTTAAACCAGGTCATATTGAGATCACTTTTTTTTTTTTCTTTTTTGAGATGGAGTCTCACCCTGTTGCCCAGGATGGAGAACAGTGGCACGATCTCGGTCACTGCAACCTCCGCCTCCCGGGTTCAGGCAATCCTCCTGCCTCAGCATCCTGAGTAGCTGGGACTACAGGCATGTGCCACCACGCCTGGCTAATTTTTGTATTTTTAGGAGAGACAGGGTTTCACTATGTTGGCCAGGCTGGTCCCAAACTCGTGACCTCAAGTGGTCCACCCACCTTAGCCTCCCAAAGTGCTGAGATTACAGGCATCAGCCACCATGCCCAGCCATATTGAGATAACTCTACACAAAAGAAAACATCAATATCTATCTAATTCTGTAAAAGTAACCCAATTCTTTAGGAAATGATGACATACATTTATGGATTTTTTTAAAATAGAGAAACAGATTTACAAAAAAGTTCATTATGCAATAAAAATTTATCAGTACTGCTTTTATCTTAAATCTTAAATGACTGAAAATATAGCTGTATAATTATTTTACGAATTCACTCTCTAAAACAGTTATTTGACTTACCAGAAGTTAGATAAATATCTTGTCCCAAACTTCAATGTCTGTATTCTGGAAAGCACAGTAAACAAATGTAAGAAATAAACTACTAACAAAAAAAGATAATCATTAATACCTAAAACTAGAATTTCTATAAAATCAACAGCAAGAGACATTCATAAATGTTTGAGAAATATGATCACAGGCCCACACTGGTATATTACAATTAAAAAGTACACTCATGCTATCAATGCTTTGGTGAGGACAACTCTATACTGTTTAGTGTCACTATATAGAGCCCCACCTAAGAATTTTTTTTAAACAAAGCTTTCAAAAGCTTTGTTTCTTAGGAGAAAAAGTATGAAAATGTATAACTATGATTCTTTTTAGTAACTTTGCCAGATAAGCTGAAGGTGAAACATAATATTCAATTATACAATTATATTAGCCCTATGATAATATTTTCCTACAAAAGATTTCCTTTCTCCATACTTTGATTCTATTCTTACAGCTATTTTATCATTGTTCCATACTATATAATGTTACTGAAAATTATCTCAAGTCCTTTGTATCTGAGGCAAAAAATGAATAAATGAAAGCAAAGGATTAAAGGAGAGGAGGAGATGTACATATATGAAAAACTTATTGTTTTTATTCCAAGATTATCTTGCTAACTGGCTTATTAGGAGGGCAGGCACTGACTTGTTCTCCCAGGAATGAAACATTTCATCTAACTTCCTTGTAACCAATAGCATTTACTTGTGAGAAGTCTGGGTCTGTTATGGTAACAGGAGATGAACATAGCAAACATTGAGCCCACAACTTGGGCTTAATTTACATCATAATCTAATCAATCCACATAAAAAGCCAAATCACTGGCCGGGTGCGGTGGCTCACGCCTGTAATCCCAACACTTTGGGAGGCCGAGGCACCCGGATTACCTGAGGTTGGGGGTTTGAGACCAGCCTGACCAACATGGTGAAACCCCATCTCCACCAAAAATACAAAATTAGCCAGGAGTGGCAGTGCACGCCTGTAGTCCCAGCTACTTGGGAGGCTGAGGCACGAGAATCGCTTGAACCTGGGAGGCGGAGGTTGCAGTGAGCCAAGATTGCACCATTGTACTCCAGCCTGGACAACAAGAGTGAAACTCATTCTCAAAAAAATAAAAATAAAAAAAGTCAAATCACTATAATTTACCCATGTTTGATCATTTAGAATGCAACGTAGCAAAATCTAAAACTTTTATTTAATTATTTTTAATTTTATTTTTGAGACAGATTCTTGCTCTATCGCCCAGACCGGAGTGCAGTGGCAGTCTTGGCTCACTGTAATCACTGCCTCCCGGGTTCATGTGATTCTCCTGCCTCAGACTCTCGAGTAGCTGGGACTACAGGTGTGCGCCACCACGGCTGGTTAATTTTTTTTTTTTTTAAATAGAGATGAGGTTTTGCTATGTTGGCCAGGCTGGTCTTGAACTTCTGACCTCAGGTGATCCAACCGCCTCGGCCTCCCAAAGTGCTCAGATTATAAGTGTGAGCCACTGCACCCAGCTGAAATGTAATACTTTTTAAAATGAGAGCTTTTCCCACTAGGATAGCTACAGAAAATCGCCAAAAATGGAAATTATCAAGTATTTGATGATGATGTAGAGAATTTAGAATTTCCTATACTACTCATGTAAAATGGGGTGGCTGCTGTGGAAATTAGTGTGGCAGTTCCTCAAAAAGCTAAACATAGAGTTACCATATGACCCTGCAATTCTATTCCTAGGTATATATCCACAAAACGATTGAAAATATGTATTCATATAAAAATTTGTACACAAATGTTCACAGCAGTATTATTCATAATACTCAAAGAGTGGAAATAACTGAGTAGATAAATAAAATGTGGCATATACATACAATAGGATGTTGTCCAGCCTCAAAAACGTCACATACTGTATGATTCCATTTCTATTAAATACCCAGAGCAGGCTAATCCATAGAGACAGAAAAATTAAGTGGTTGTCAGGGCTGGGGAGGGGAGAATGAAGAGTGACTGTTAATGGAAGAAACAGAGGTATCTTTGGGATAATGAAAATATTCTGGAATTAGTAGTAATGGTTGTAAAATCTTGTAAATATACTAAAAACCACTGAACTATACACTTTTAAATAGTGAATGCTATGGTAAATTATAGCTCAACTTAAAAAGAGCTTTTAAATGTTGTTAATAAATTAATGAAATAAATAACCCCTCATATATGTTAAAAGCAGCTTTTCCTAGCCCTGAAAACCAATTAGCATTTTTATGATCTGACCCTAACTACTGTTTAATAAAATTTCCTACAATAATCTAGTCACATTTCCAATTTTTTGTTTTTGTTTTTGAGGAGTCTCGCTCTGTCGCCCAGGCTGGAATGCAGTGGTGCTCACTGCAAGCTCCGCCTCCCGGGTTCACATCATTCTCCTGCCTTAGCCTCCTGAGTAGCTGGGACCACAGGCACCCGCCACCACGCCCGGCTAACTTTTTTGTATTTTTTCAGTAAAGACAGGGTTTCACTGTGTTATCCAGGATGTTCTCAATCTCCTGACCTCATGATCTGCCCGTCTCAGCCTCCCAAAGTGCTGGGATTACAGGCGTGAGCTACCACGCCCAGCCCACATTATCAATTTTTAACAGGATAGTAAAATCCTGTGATTTCTTTTTCTTTTGAGACAGAGTCTCACTCTGTCACCCAGGCTAGAGTATAGTGGCTCACTGCAACCTCTGCCTCCTGGGTTCAAATGATTCTTGTGCCTTAGCCTCCCAAGTAGCTGGGATTACAGACGTGCACCACCACACCCGGCTAATTTTTGTAGTTTTAGGAGAGACAGGGTTTCACCATGTTGTCCAGACTGGTTTCCAACTCCTGGCCTCATGGGATCTGCCCACCTCGCCCTCCCAAATTGCTGGGATTACAGCTGTGAGTCACTGCACCAGGCCAAATTCTGTGATTTAAAAACTTTGTTTCAGAACTCCCCAAACTGGTAATAGAATTACACCTCTTATCCTCCTAATCTACATTGTGATTGATTATACATACTTAAAGAACACAGTAATGGGAAGAGGGTCACAGTACAGGCAGAGATCCAGTGAGTGGACTACGTGGAAACTTTTGTTGAGACCTAGTAGTCCCTTAACACTGCTGTATGTAAGAACCCTGCCCACAAATGGTCATTCAAACTTGATTTTGATTTAAACCCTTTCAGAATAGAAACTCAAAAGGTGTCCCATTCAGTCTCCACAACCATCCATCAGAACTACTAAAAAGGTCTTCCTTATACTTATTCCCCAGTAACTTTTCCCTACTGGACCTAGTTCTGTACCACAGACCCTCTTCCACTAAACAACCTTGTAAGTTCAAAAACAGCTGCCATGAGCCACAAAATTCCTTCTCCAGTCAGAATCCTTAATTCTTTCAACCACTTATCAGCCCCTGGTTTCTTAACCTTTCGGCACTCAAGACCACTCCAAGTTGCTGACTCCAGTTATCTGATACTGACAATATCATGTATAGTAACCCCTGTGCCTTGGTTTGCTAAAACCTATAAAACTAGGATAATAATCCTATCTACCTCATGAGATTATTGTGATTAAATGGGCTAATCTGTGTAAAGATTGTTCTAGGCACAATACCTTACATGTAATCAGTGTTACATGTTTGCTACCACTATCATTCACAGAATCACAGCAGCTTTTTTGGTAACTCTATCATGCTAACTCATTCAGCTAAAAATATGCTACTATTTTCTACATCTCTACAAATTGCACTTGAAAAAAACCTTTTTGAGTCCAGTAAAGATTATACATCTAATCTCTTTATTAACTTTCCTGGGATGGGCTAAGACATAGCCCATCCTTTCAGTCTGTTTCAGGAACACAGTGGATGACATGAATGGGCTCACGAGCCAGACTGCACATACTGGAATACTGGCTTTACAACCTTAAGCAAGTTACACCTCTCTGTGTCTCATTGTTTCTCTGAAAAAGAAGATGATAAATCATTCTATAAAGACCTTTCTAGCACCTATGTACCCTAATATGTACCAAGCATTTCCTCAGAAGCAAATAAAGCAAAGTCTACACCCTCAAGTGGCTTATATCCTAGAGGGGGAAAATAGACAATAAACAAAGAACTAGTAAATACATACTAGCTCAGATGATGACAGGTGCTAGGGAGATAGATAAACAGTGGTGTAAGAAGAATATGGAGTTCTATGTCAGGCACAGGAGTAGGGGAAAGGAGGGGGTTGCTATGTTATATAGGGCATTCTGGGAAGACCTCTCTAAAAGATATTTTTGAGCAGAAACCTGAGGAAGTAAGGAGGCAAACCGTGTGGATACTTAGGGGAAGAGATTCCTAGCTAAATGAACAGCAAGTGCAAAATATGTGCACTTGGTGTGGCCTGAGGAGCAGCAAGGATGCCAGGCTGAGAAAGTGACAGGGAGGGCACTCAGAAATGGACCAGAAAGGCAACACCGTAGAGCTTTCTATGCATGCTTTTATCTAAGTGAGATGGAGAAGGCATCAGAGGGCACTGAGCAGAAGGGTGAGGTTGCCTGGTTTGGGTTTTAAGTGGCTGCTGTGTTGAGAATATACTGCACAGGGAGCAAATAGGAAGTTATTGCAATAATTGCGGTAAGTGATGAAAGTGGCTTACATACATGTGGCAGAGGGAAGGCAGTAGGAAATGGTTTCTGGATATATTTTGAAGATAAAGCCAACAGGATTTGCTAATACACTGACGTAGAATCTGAGATAATTATATGGTGTTTTGGCAACCTGGGTTTGTATCCTGGGAGACTCTGCCACTTACCGTGTGACCTAGCAAGTACTTAAATATCTTTCTGCCTCAGTTTCTTCATCTGTAAAATAAAAATAACAGCATCTACCTAACAAAACTATTGTGAAGATTACATGTTAAAAAACTCTTAGAAGAGTGCTTTCTGCCATATAAGCATTAATTATTGCTATCATCATTATCATCATTATTATTTGCTTGCTTCTAAAAAAACGGAGTTGCAGGAAGAACAGGTTTGAGAGTG